GGTTTTGTAATAAAGATACAGAATGTTTTCATTTATGACAAAATTGAAGTTGAACTCATCATAGCCTAATAGCTTGTGGTTGCCCTATATTTATTTGTAAAGCATTTATAAAACTATCGACTGCCTTCACATCTGGAAGATTTACATTTTTTCAAAGCATAAGACAAATGTTCCCACTCATGTAGCTAAGCTGTCACAGTTATTGACTCAGACATATTTTTATCCTTATGTGAAGATGTGTTTAAAAGGAGGAATGTCATCATCCTGGACTTTTGGCCAAAAATGTTTTTTTTTTGCTTACAGTGTTAAGCAAATTTTGAATGCCACTGTGACTGAAAGAAATTGAAACTGTTTTGTTCTTCTACTCATAAGCATTCCTCATTTTCATGCTTTCTTTATCTAAGCCTTAAAGCTCTTGTTTTATGGTGTGGCTCTTACATAAAGCAATGCAAAAAGAGAATATTTCAATATGTAGTTGTCTGAACAAAGAAGTTGGCAGCCTGCCCCCAAAGTGGGCACAATACTTGAAGCCATAATAAATTTCATCTAGTTGACAAGATTTCCAGCTGCCCCTGCACCCTAAATAGTCTGCATGTCTGATTTGGTTCTTAATGATTGCTTTAGACCTGTTCTGTTACTGAAGGGAGGCAGGTAGCCAAAGAAGTTAGCACTAATTCTTGTTTTTTAGGGCTGGCAGCTGACATGGCCCTTATATAGATACCATGCAGAGAAATAGTAAGGTTGCTGTGTTGTTTTGGCCCTTCACTGTTGAGTGTGGCACATTTTTTCTGTCTTTAGTCTGAAAACTATTATCAATGTTCCTGAGTGAAAACTCTGCTCTGATTTGTGTGAAAAATGCTATTGCTTGCTATAGAAATTACTAGAGAAACAAAGTTATGTGATGTACATTTGAAGAAAATAGTCTTAATTTTAAATTTCTTGATTTGAAATTAGGGATTTTATGTTTTAGACAGGAGTAGCCTCATAATTAGCATGTTTGCTAGTTAATGAGGGCATATTTGCTTATTAGCATTAGGAAACAAAGCATTTTAATGTAATTCCTCACTTTCTGTCAAGATCAGATACAGAGATTGGCATGAACTGTGCAAGCAACTCTTAGGGATGGTTTTTTTCCACCACAATGGCATCTTCATCACTGACACATTACTGTCTGCAGGGTTTGTCTTGTTGAATAACCAAAGTGTGGAGTGAATTGAGACTTCCAAGCAGTTAAACTGCTTTTCTAATGAAATGGCAGAATATGTCCTATCTAAAGACAAGACAGATTACAGTAAATATGCTTGCTGTGATCTATTTCTCATCACACTTTGATGTGAAGTACATCTACATTGAAGCCAGAGGACCACCTAGACGATTCTGTCCCTTCAAGTGTTAAAATTTTACATAAATTTATTGCAAGGCAGCATAGTATGTTACTGCCTTTCCAAGTGCTGCAATAATATTTTCATCCTAATTCACAACTCCAAGATTTGCATTTATGGAGTGTGCAAGTCTTGTGGTGATTTTCTAATAGAGGGTCATGTCAACGTGATTTTGATACTTTGTTTAATATTGATTAGGGTACCCAGTATAAAATAGTTGAAAATGAAAAACAAATGTTATAGTCTTGCTATAGTTTTTAAGAAGAAAATGCCAGATCATCAGCTCTGCTCCATGGTAGTAGACCTCTTCTTGCAGAGCCCTCATGGTTTCAGTAGTACTCTACCTGCTTTGTGAGAGTCCTGTCACTTGGATCAAATGGCCAGAGTGGAGCTTCGTTGCCCCCAGAAAAGATCCTATTGCAGTGTGCAACTACTGCAGCAACAAATAAATGGGTTTGCCTATACAAGAGGCAGTAGATGCTAATCTTGACTGAATTTCTGCCTAGAGAGATGTGCTCTCTTTTATTTATTAATTGGAAAAGTTTTTGAGTGAAACTGTGGCTTTAGTGGGAGTTAGGCAGGTCAGCTCTCCTGCTGGTATTGACCATAGGAGCTGCATCCCTGAATTGTGGAACTGGCTGTCAGCTGATCTTCCTGCTTCAATATTGTAACTATTAGGCCTGATCCAGAAAAGCACTTAAATGTCTCTGTAACTTTAGGCGTGTGAATAGTTTTGCTTGTTCCAGTGGGAATTCTGACATGCATCTGTGCTGAAGTGCTTTGCTGGATCAGGTCCTATGCCTCCACTGGAAGTCTCCTAGGAATATGACAGCATTGTCCACCAAGCTAATATGATGAAAAGAGTCTAAATTTTACTTTTTAATTGAATATTCCCAAGTGAAAGCTATGATTGGAAAATTCCTCCATCAACATATCCATATAGTTGTCTATTTTTAAAATACGTGGTGGAGATGTGGACAGTGAGAGGTATTTCTCTCAGCTTATTTAAAATGTAACTTTTTAAATATGTTTTGCAGTTAGGTAGAACTAAAAAAAATTCTCTAAAACACTGTGGGTATTAAAGAAGCTGAGTTTAATGATGGTTACTGAAGGACAAATATAGCCTCTATACATGGGCATCAGTGTATTCAGAAGAAATACATCATTGTAAGTGTTTCCTTGTTTGGATCAATACTACTTTCGTTGGTGTTTTGTTTCACTTTTGTTTGTTGGGTGGTGAGTGACTAGTATTTCAAAGTAATTAATATGAATTATTGTTATAGGAAAGCATTTTGGCAGTGAGCTGTACTTGTGTAAATTATAACAAGTGTACTTACACTGATTAACTTTTTGTGGATTTTTTTTTCAAAAAGGCATATGTGATTGTCTTTGAATTCAGAACTTCTCTATCAGAGATGCAGGCATATCACATATCACCAGCACAGTGCTTTCTGATCCTAGCTAGCAAACTGCCTTTGTCAGCATGTTAAAATGGATATTAAAGGATATGAAAAGTCTTGCATGACCGAGCAGTGAACTTCATGTTAACTGTGCATTTAACAGTGCAAATCTTTAAAAGTGAAGTCTCTAGTGCAGCATTTAATTGATAAACTTTGCAGTTGTGGTTTGAGGAGCCTGCATATCTCTGGCTACTGTTTTGGCTTCAAGTACAAATGTTTAGTCAAGTCCTTTTCTGAAATGCTGTGAAGCCTTTAACATCCTGCAGTACTGATGGTTGCTAATTAAAGGTTGCAAGGATGATTACGGACTGGGGCACCTTTCATGCAAGGGAAAACCAAGAAAATTGGAAAGCCTGGAGGAGGCTCAGGGGGATCTTGAAAAGGTTTTTAAGTACCTCATGGGGGAGGGAATGAAGGAGAGCAGCAGACCTTTCTCAGTAAAACCCACTGTTAGGACAAGAGGCAATGGACACAGATTGTAACACAGCAAATTCAATCTGGACACAAGAAAATATTTATCTATTGTTAGGGTGGCCCAACACTGGAATGGATTGACCAGACAAGTTGTGAAGTCTCCACCCAGCTGCAGATGATCTGGGGCAACCTGCTGTAGCAAACCCTGTTTCAGCAGGGGTGTTAGACAAGGCAGCCCATGTTCTCCAGAGGTGTGTCCAACCTAAACACCTCTGTGAATGAATACATTACTTCTGTGATCCAGTAAAGGGACTTACCGGTTATTTTATATATATGATAATTATAACCATATTCATGTTTTCATACACATGTGTATATGTGTGAAATCAGATGGTGAACACCAGATATACTTCCAGTATTCCTGTTTTAGCATAGTGTTGTTGACTGAAGCACTGGGCATATATAAGGCCATCAGCTTTCTTTGGTCCCACTTTTCTTATTCTTGCACAAGTGCAAACAACCTTGGCAACAAGGTCAAGCATTGTTATGTTTGGGTTTTTTTATTTTTGGAGGGGTTTGTTTTGGTTTTAGTTTTTATTGAGTTGGAATGTTTTTGTTTTGTTTTTTTTCTTTTGGGTTTTGCTATTTGTACGGTTCTTGGGGTTTAGAATTTTGCTTGTTTGTTTGCTTTTTTTTTAGGATCTTTGGTCCTTATTTGGGAAGATATTTGGAATGCCTCTAAACATTTTGTTTTTCATTAGTGTTTTCGTCACTAAGTAGAATGAATGTTCTAAGAGCTGCTAAGCCAGCTAACCTGTTTTGTCTTAAGTCAGGAAGAACAAAACACTTTATAGATGTAATATTGGTAGATAGAACTCTTCTAGTTTCATATATGTGGGAGGGAGCACCATTGCAAGTACTGAATACAACCCAGTATCTGTAGAATCAGACCAAGTTTATGAATTGATGTTTGGAAATACACTTTTTCATATGAGATTTTTGGGTAAGGAATTTATCAATAAATGTAGCCTTCAAAACTGCAGTCTTGATTCAGCACTTGGATTTAGAAAACCAGAGGTTTGTCCCATATACTCTTAATGGCATCAGAAATGTTGGCAATTGCTTTTGTTTTTTCTGAATGTGATTATAAGGGTTACAGATTGCAAATTGATGTGTTTTGGTGTGCAGCTTAGTTTAGTACAATCCAAGAACCATTTTTAAGGTGAACATTGAATTTTATACTTGAATTAGACAAATATATAAATATCTGATGCATACCTTAAGAAATATTGTATTGGGTAAATAAGTCTGTGAACAGATACTGGTTTTTTTTTTAACGTTTGTTTCATCATGTTTGATTTCAGGTTAAAGGTTCTTACAGAGTATAATGTTAAACATTACATATGCATTTAGTATGGGTACAAAGGAAAAAATACAGTGTATAGCATTTTCTTTTATTTATTAACTCTGTAACTCAGAAAAACTTCTTAAATGTTATGATTGCAGTTTAAAATGTCCCTAGGTCTCTGCTGGAATTATTCAAATAAAAAGTTTGATTAATGTACTTGTGATGTCTTTGTCTAAAAATCAAAAGGGATTCTGTTATAGTATTGACTATTTCCAGGTTTAAAAAAATTAAGTGCATAGAAGATGTAAAAAGACCCAAAACACCTTAGCAAAAGCAATTACATGATTCAGGTTTTTCAGAGAAAAGTGATAGCTATTTTCTAATTCTGTTTTTCAGTTTCCATAGCTAGACGAGTCCAAGACCCATTAGCTGAGCTAGTGAAAATCGAGCCCAAGCACATAGGAGTTGGAATGTATCAGGTAAGATAATACGTATCATTTAATCAAAGTAATCTGTCATGATATAGAGCAACATCAAAATGCTGCTTTATAATTGCCAACTAGTTCTGTCTCCTTTAAAAGATGTTTTCAGTGTTGATGGAATGGTAGTAAATACTTGGAAGCCATAAACTGCCTTTTTAAAAATCTCTACTTTTAGTGATTGTGATTGAGACTCTGAAATGGCTGTAGCCAGATGTATTGTCTATTAAAAACATCAAATCAGACAGGTAACCTGATCTGTAAAGCTTTCTCTTTTTCTGTATTGTTACAGCAATGGGGTTTTAGCTCTTTGTGTAAAATGCAATGAGATATTGATCCTCCATTTAGAAGTCATTAATTTGTACTATTAGGTGCATTCCTTTTTAGAAGTTTGTAATAAAAGGGTTTGTTTTGAAGCTTTTCATTTAGTAAAGCTGAATTGAAAAATGTTTGACAGTTGTGATTTTTATACATTTTTGGGGGTTATTTTTGAGAAGAAACTTCTACTTTCCAAGTTTCTTTACCAAGAGTGTTATGTTAAGAAGTGGTACATAAGTTATTGTCATTTTACAGCATATTGGCATCAATTCAGGAAAGCATTTATGCGTGTGCTGAAGTCCCACCAAATAAAAAAGAAAAAAAAAATTACCCAGAAAATATAGCATGTGCTTTTCTCTATATTTTTGAAACTATAGAATGTGAGTAAATTTGAAGGACTACAGCAGAATTCAGAACAGAAAGCATAGAACTGTCTGGATCTGTTTTTTCAGGTCAGCTCATGAGCGTTAATGGGATAGAAGGCAATTAGCAGCCTAGAATCCCTTGCTGCCTCTCCTAAAGGTGGTGTGACAAAGAAAAGGTGTTAAGAAAATCTTCCAACACATGTATGTCCTGTTTTGTTTTTACAGAACTGAGGTCAGCATTTTAGTTGGTTAAAGTAGAATTCAGAGCTGCTTTTGTAAGTCCTACTTGTATTACCACAGATGATAAAACCTATTCATGTTGCTTGCTAACTGCAAACTTACTGGTAAACTTAACTTAAATAATCTTTTGTGCTTTAATGGTGGCAGCTGTAAATGTGGGTGTGGTCACCTGGCAAAAAGATGAGCTTCAGTCTGAAGTGTAGTTGGTTTCCTTACTTGTGGAAACCCAGGGCTTTAATTTATAACAGGAGCAGTGATATGTTGAAAAAAAAATAATGGGAAGTGATACAAATTTTTGTTCATTCTTGCTTTAGGGAAAGAAGTATTAAAAAAAAAAAAAACCAAACTTGAAATGCTGTGTCAGTATTTAAAGAAGCTGAGTAATTTCATTTTTTTTAAAACAATAGTTCCAAGATGGAATATTTTACTATTTGCAGTATACTTTTTATTCTTAAGTACTAAGAACTTGCATTGCTGTGACTAGAAGATACTGATTTAAATGCACACCATGTCCTGTGGCCCATGTGGACATTGTACAAGCATACATCTACAGCAAAAAGCATGGAATTAGTGGTGGTCATATGGTTTCGGGATGATGATACTATGAGATTAATAGGGTCAATATTGCAGCAGTTCACTGCAGTCTCAAAGACTGAAGCTGAGTCTTTTTTACTTTTTATTCATTGAGAGCAAGGTAAGAACCATGTTTCTGGCCCTTCCAGAGAAGCTTCTTGATCCACTACAGGTATGTTGTGAGCAAATGCCTGTGTTATTTGCTATAGTCCAAATTGGTTAGATGAAAAGTTTCAGAGAAATAAATCCTAGAAGCCTAGGAGAGAGATAGACCTCAAATACTGTTCATTTCCAGCTATATGTAATTTAATTCTTGTCATGCTTTGAATAAATCTGAGGTAGATACACATCCTGTTGGAATTCGTAAGAATCATCACAGAAGCTATAGTGTGGTTGTTCAAAGATACATAAATTTCTCAAGTGCTGGATCTTAGTAGCATTGCTGAAAGCAAATTTGTACTCTTGAAAATAGAATCAGAAGGTTTGCTGCCCTCTGGCCATGACAGCTCTCTTGTGGCACAGGAAGGGAATGGGAGGAGAAGAGGAATTAAGCTTTTCTGTCTTGTCTTCCTTTTAGAGACAGCCACTTGCTGGTGTCTCGGAGGACAGGCATGGAAAAAGTTGTTTTGCTGTACAGGGAGTCCCAGAGTAATGGCTGATTTAATCCCCCAGATAAAGAGTATTTCAGGTACATAATTTTATAATATCCAAGGCAACTTGAAAGGTTTTATTACATTTTAATTTATAATTTACGTGCTGGCTGCAGCTTTTTATTAATTTCTGTAGTGAAATATGTAGTGCACAGTCTAGATCAGAAATACAGCAGTCTTTTCACAGAGGTGGTTGCTTTCTTAGCCTATTGTAACTTTAAACCTAGCATTTAAATATGACCTTTCATTTCTTAAACACCCTGAAATTGATATTTAAGAATCTGACAAATCCAGGTTTTGTCATTCTTGTCCTGAAAGAGGGATGGTGATTAGTCTGTCAGCAATTAGGCAGAAGCAGGCTGAGACTGTGCTGCTGCCCATGACCACGGGAGCAGTATAGCACAGGCAACATGGTGATTTCATGAGAGATGGTTACACACTCATTGTGTGTTGATCAAAGAGTGAACTCCCTGAGGGAATGGTCCTGCCTTTTCTGGTACTCCTACCCAAGTGCCCAAATCTTTTTGTGATGTTTGTAATGGCTGCATGATGTCCTGAGTTGGCATAACAGAGGGGCAGCAGTGCACAGCTTGTGGGGGAGTGGAGGCCTTCACAGCAGCCTCACTGATTTGGGACATGGCCTCTGTCAGTTTAGGATAGCCAGAGGTCCCAAACTACTCTGTTTGAAAGGCAGTGGCAGAGACAATAATTTGTCTTTTCTCAGAGGTGAAGTGAGAGACTAGTGGAGCAGAATCTGCCTGTGAAGGATGTAGCTTTTGTAATGAGACTGTGGTACAGGAACATTGTGTGTGCAGCTGAGTGACCCCTTTGGGCAGGAGGTGCTCTGCTGCTGCCAGCAGTGATAGCAGTGCTACAGGAAAGTGAAGTGCTCATGTGCTAAATCCGCTGCTAACAGTATGAGCTTGCCCAAAGTCTGTGTAGTGTGTGCTGCACAAAGAGAACTGAGTGCAGGGGCTGCATCTTCTCCAGTTGCTACTTCCATGGGATCTTAGATCCCTCCCGTCTGGTCTCTTGGTGTTCGGTGTGCACATTTGTGAGAATATTGGTGTTCTCTAGTTTTTCTAATACAACTTTTCCAAGCAAATCTGCTCACCTGGGTGTGGATACTTTGGATATGGAATTGCAAGTTTCGGAGTAGGAGGAGATCTGTGTAAATTGAGTCCCATCAGCTGGGATTTGTTTACTTATTTTAGATGAAAAAAAAAATGAAACTTGAACTTGGCCACCTGCTTTTATTCTCATTTCAGTTTATGATTCTGAGTTTGTGCACTGCCAAGAAAATCAGGTTTGTCAGAGAAAAATAAACAGGCCCCAGATCTCCTAACAGGTATTTCCTTAAACAAAGAGAAGCACAACCTGATTTATTAGAGCCTCCCTCAGACTAAATTCCAATTGCCTAAAGGTCCTTGTCTTCCTTCATCTTTATCTCATTAGGAAAATTGTTCTTTCCTCCCAGACAGGAACCTAGGCAAAATTAATTTATCACCTTCAGGCCATATTAGTATGATTTCTTCTGTAGTTGAACATGAAGATGATACCCAGAGTCTGCCTGATACAGAATATATTTGCATTGTCACCTCCCCATGCCAGTTCAAAGCTAAATTTCTATTCTGGGAGAAGCAGTTAGTAGCTCGAGACTTTATTATGCTGCACACTGAATTCTGGTGATGAATTACCATTGCAGTTGTAGTGATCTTGGAAGTTATAGATAAAAGCTGAGAACAAAGTTGCTACACAAAGACTGTGGTTAGGGTATTCAATTTCAGAGCAAAGAAAATGAATAAGAAGACAAAAAAAAAATCTTTACTCTCAAATAAAAACCCAACTTTTCAGAGGAGAGTGGAGCAGCTCTAAGCATAAATTTTCATCATAGTAAAGAGAGGAATTAAATTAATATACTTTTAAAACACCAAAACCTGAATCTGTGTTAAAAGGCAGAGAAATGAGAAATAGAGCTAAAGGAATACGTTAAGTTTGGTTGGTCTTTTGATGTTCATTTGATGTACAAAATTCTTGGATCCTAAAAAAGCCCAGTAACCTCTAGAGAAAGAGATAGATGGAGGTCCAACTCATCTGTAGCCTGTGAACAAAATATGTGATCTGTGTTGTAGGTTTATAATTTTTGACAAATTCAGTGTAATATTAAAAAATGTACCCTATGTTTGATCTTGAAAGTGCAACATCCTATTTGGTCTTTATAATTTCTGGAGTTCAAAAATCTGTTCATTATCTATTTTTGGGTGTGGTAACATCTTCACTGTTGAACATGGTCAGAAAATTAGCATCCTAAAAGGATGTAAGGGTTAATATATGTAGTTCTGTGACCTCTGAAGTGGGAGAAGACTTGATTACAGATGTACCTGGAATATTTTGTGTCAAATAAATTAAATCTGTAAACAATACTCTTAAGTAGTATTCCCTCAAGAAAAAAAAAAAGATTGAGCTACTTTTGTTTTCTATGTAATGCTGGAAGGTCCTGATCAAAGGAATTTTTCCATAAAGCTTGATCAGGGTGTCTGATTATAATTGAATCTGGAAATGTCTTTTTATCCCTCCTGTGCATGTTCCTTTCCCTGGTCCTCTAGTTATTGAAGTGCATTACTTTTGCATTTGATTATTACCTGCAGGAAGTTTTATTGTTTCAGTTGCAATTTGATATTCATTCTAGGCTTGAGTTTTTCCCCCAAAGAAGATGGATATGTCTTGGTAAATGACAGTGCAACTTGAGAGAATGCTTTTAATCAGATACATACATTTTCTCTTTAGTTAGACCAGTTCTCTTAATTATGACATTGCAGATATAAACCACTTGCAAATCCACAGCCAGCTAGTT